GTAGTAGTAGTAGTAGTAGTAGTAGTGGTAGTAGTAGTAGTAGTAGTAGTAGTAGTAGTAGTAGTAGTAGTAGTAGTAGTAGTAGTGGTGCCATTATTTTAGTCTTCTTTCCTCCTACACATCTTTCATGCTTTTTATTATTCGTCCTCTTTTCTCGCTTACATCTAACTTGTTTATTATCATATTTTGTCCTTTTCCCTCCCGTAAATCTATCTTGATTATAGTTATTATTTTATCCTCTTTCCTCCAACACAGATGGTGTTCGGTAGGAAGAAGAAACAGGCCACAGAGGCTGCCCCTGCACCCACAAGCACCGAACCTACAGCAGACGGTGCTCCGAAACCCGGGACACAGGCAGGCGACAAGGGGAAGGCAGACGACGCCAACAAGGCCTCCCCTGACAGTCCCGCAGTCGATCCTAAGGCCAATGGGGTGGGTTTTGCGACCTGGTTCGCCGTTTAGTCGCCTCGTACGACACGTTAGCTCCACGTTAATCAATTGAGTGTACTAAAATTCAAACGTTTCTCAGGGTCCATTGTTCGAAAAAACACTGTTTTTCTGATCTACTCTAACTGGCTAAAATGACTTTGGCATTTGTCTTATGAGCATTACGATTTTGAAAGCGAAAGCTACTGACTGAAAATCAAGCAATCTTGTATAGATTTAACATTGTAAGGTTCTTTAAGAGGTGGAATTGCCCATACAATATTTGAAAGACGTATAATAGCAAGTGTGACATGGCACTAACGGCACCTCATGTGACAGTTTTAGAAAGTAAGATAACAAACAAGGAGTTTATCTATTTTATCTGATTATGCTTGAGAGATCAACATTTATGCATACCGAACTGCACTTTTCAAGATACGTCCTGTCAAACCTTGACGTTTAATACATAAGATAATGGACATAGTGGTTACACTTAGGTTTGTCATTGTATATTATATTTATAATTATGACTGTATTTATATTGCGCATATCCTCGCTCTACAGCATTCTCTATGCGCTTTACAGCTATTATTATCCCAGCACACCCTAGAACAACAAGAAACATCCCCAGAAGCTAGGGAAGCATAGAGTGTAAAGTGCAGATTTTCACGCGCTCAAATACTACAAACGGACAAGATCTTTCATTGTTATTAGCCGGGTACCCATTTTCACAAGGGTGAAGTGAGGAAAATTCGTGTTAAGTGCTTTTCCCAAGGACACAAAGTCGGGACCCTGACGGAATTCGAACCTATGACCTTATGGTTGCGAGTCTGAAAGCCTAACGACTATGCTACCGACGCCACAAAAAATACTTTAGAGCCTTTTCAACACAATTTAGAATTTTAATGAGACGGGCTTATTTGTCTAGCCTGTCAGAACTATTCACTCGATCTAGTACACAATATCTAAGCAGAAAAAAAAATAACACGGAGAAGCTCGATGAAATGTCTTTTCCTTCAATGAATCGAACTCATGTCTACTGTGTGCAAGGCAATGTTTCCGACGGGTTAACTACAGGTGCTGTTTTCCACATGTAAAAGCATCTCTCGGAAATATGTGTCCGGATAAAATGGTTGAGTTAAAGCGAATTCAATGTTATTTTTTTTTAACGTCTAACAAGGAATACAAATTACAGGCTTAGCAGCTGGGAATCTTGACTTGAGCCACTTTCTATGCACATTTTAAAAGCAGTTTCCCACTCGTTTTGTTTTGTCCCTGAATGGAGCAAGATTTAAGAAAACAGAAAACCAGTACATCACTTATATTTGAGTGATCATTTACCCTCATCCGTACCCGATTCTTGCAACTTATATGATGATCAAACCCACTTCAGTTCGATGGTCATGGCCAACTTGATAAAAATCTTCTGTTCTGTTCTTTGGACTAAATCTTAAAACTTGCAACACATCACTGTTTTATATTCGGTAAGAGTCAGGGCGTGTGTATTACAGCATTTCCGGCTTCCAAAATGGGAACATAATCTGGTAGAAAGCTTGATTCTTCTATGCATATCTGTGAGAACTATTTTTATCTTTAACCAGAGGCTAGAATGAACCTCTTCAGTGTGTCCTGTCCCTTTTTGAAAAGATTAGATGGTATAGAACACACACTCTTGCTCTCTCTCTCTCTCTCTCTCTCTCTCTCTCTCTCTCTCTCTCTCTCTCTCTCTCTCTCTCTTTCTCTTTGTAGCACTGCGTGTTCAGTAACCTCACTGCAGTTATATATAGCGCAGCTCTCGTATCCCTGTTTTCGGTGTAGAGACGTTAATGTTGGTGTAGTCTCACACAAAGGAACGCTGCTTGCTGTTAGCCAATACTACATTGTTATTCCAAATGCAAAAAAAAGAGGATCAACAGGTCGCCAGGGTTACGACATCAACATATCATAATAGGGGATGCCTATTACATCGGGTCGGGTCCATCGCCCGACTCGGTCGTCTGAAATCGCGGACTCGGTTGCCTGAAATCGCGGACTCGGTTGCCTGAAAACAAACGCGTTAGCTTTTAGGCGACCAAGAAGGGTGATCGGTTCGACACGTCAATCCCATCCGTAATGGGCACTCCGTTTAACCCTATCCGTACACCAATGGGGTCATTTAGTACCTCCGGGGTTGTATTCTTCACATTTTAGAATACTTCTAGTACGAAGATCTCTTTGAAACTTTCAGTATTTCTCAAAAAAATCATTTTGACTGACTGCTATGCAAAGCGTACGGATCGGATTAACGAGTAAATTTCCTCTTTGGAAAGTGGTGGCACAGAGTTCCCCACTTCGTATGGATACGATAGTAAAACACGACGTGCGGATATGGTTAAGTGGTGGCACAGAGTTCCCCACGTCGTATGGATACGATAGTAAAACACGACGTGCGGATATGGTTAAGTGGTGGCACAGAGTTCCCCACGTCGTATGGATACGATAGTAAAACACGACGTGCGGATATGGTTAAGTG